TGTCTTTTCCTTTGCAATCAGATTTCGGTTATCCTGGTTTTTGGCAGCAAAATAATAAAAGACCATATTTCGTTCTAACGCTTACTTTTATCAAGTTATTATACTAATAAATAAAATTCCTGACCCTTTAAACATATATTTAGACCCAAACACCATATAAAAAGGACATCTAGAAGCTAATATATGTACTTTTTTGATATACCGGACGCCGGGTGGCGGCCATTTTTAATTTTCGCGTCTGGCCGAGTTAGCCCACATTTTTACGAGGTTCACCCCACCCTCTCAAATTGACTAAAATCAACTCTCAAACCTTGGTCCCGGAAAAGTGGTCACGGGACCTCATTGTGGGAACTCTACTATATGCACAATGATACAGTTTAAATCACATATAGCTAACCGATAAAGAATGTTCTACTGCATTTAGTTAAGATTTAGCATCGGCAACTAGGTCAGTGTAATGTATTCAGTTTATTAAACAGGTGGCATAGAAAAAATGTTGCTTCAAATTTTGCCACATATTTTATTTGTCAAGTCGTAAATGGGCACTGGACACCGGGAAACGATGACGAAATTAATCACTTTTCAATCACACTAAGTGTTAAAGTATGACGACAGTGAACTAAGGTAGGGAGTACACATGAATAGATAATGCAAAAAGTGGTCAAAGACACTGAGTTGAAAAAACCCACCTCACAAACATTTCTCTTTACTACTTCTTGTCAATGCATGTATGAAAACATTTGGAAAAGGGTTTTCATCTCGTGAATAGTCTTTTTTACAAAACTGGTTTGTCCCGTGATTGAGGGAACGTGTTTAGCCCCGTACCCATTTGTACCGGTCTCATTCCGGTAATAAATATTTCCTGGTGTCTAAAAATGATGCAGACATGACAACAAAAGTGTCTTCATATGAATTATTGGCATGTGGGCAATTCACTTCTGATGATGAATGATTACTGCTAAAAATAATAACTGCTAAAAAGAAACAGCAAGTTTCAACACTGACTTGTTCATTGGTTTCATAGTGCGGAAAGAAGTTGCCCGGCGGGCCCCTCTTTTGCGACACCTTTGCAAAATTTGCATCTCGGTTAGACCACCAGTCTTACTGCCTCGTTTCAAAACCGTCACGTGGTGTTATTAGCGTTATTTTCAACAGGGCTACCCCGAACAATTTAAGTGGTCAAGCTGGACATTTGGAACGGGCTATGAATATGGGGATAGCAATGTAACATACGTGGAAGTGCATACAACACATGTCTTAATTAAAAACAAAATGGCTTTTCACATGATGTCCCTTAAAATGAAAAGAAAAATTGTTGAATTAGAGTATGCACGCACTGAAAGAATACCACAGGGGGAATTTCAAACGGCACATAGTACGATATCAATTGGTTGAACGTCAAAAGATAACTAGATTATAACGCTGATTTTGAGATGTTGTTTGGAAGATACAATTGATTCAGAATAAATACCTGTATTGGTATTCCAAAGAAATAACGTGAATAAAGCAAGAATTTGCCTACTCTCCATGGCAAGAAAGACATTTTTATTTGCTAATAGTTTACCGACAGCTGCCGCTAAAACATGGTTGTACAGTTAAAAGATGTCTTCATTATTTATTAATAATTCCCAGAAAACATTGTTTCCTGCCAATTGTCAATTATATTATCATGAGGAATTTGAAAACAGATCACAATAACAACTTATTTTACTGAATTGTCCCTTTAAAAAACATTAAATGTTTAATGGAATACTAGGCACATTTTATTGTTAATGGAATAGTGTGCACTTCATGCGTTGTTCTCATCATTTTTATGGTATTAAATGATAAAAGAGAACCCAGTTATGTCTGATTTGAGTAGTTTTGATGTAAAATAAATTCATGCAACTTCATATATATTACCAAAATACATTGTATAGATACTAAACAAACACTTTAAAAGTTTTAATATCCTCCATGAACTTTATATGTCCTGTGAACCTAAATACATGTATAAACCACCATATTATTTTATGGTCATTGTAATTCAGCAACAGAATACTAATTTTAATCGTGTTTATTTTAGGGAGTATATTTTAAAGAGGTAGTTTAGTTACGAGATGACAATCATTTCTATTATCAATGGATATGTACAGCATTAAAGTTCATGTAGGTGTACCGGGCGATTCTGAAGAAAACAACCGCTGTGTAATGACGCACCCCGCATCTTGATGACACCTCAAATAAATGAAAACGATATTTGTCACCTTATATAATTTTAATCAAAGGTTGACAAAATCCTGTGTGAGGTTTTGGTCAGTAATCCTATAATGAATGGATGAAAACTGCACGTGATGATTTTGATGAATAAAACAGCTGCTTTGACGTGTTTCGGTGACAAGACATGACACTAACAAATACGAAACCACCTAACAATCATTTCACAGTTCCGTTGAATTAGTCACACGAATTTCTCTAATAAGAACCAGGTGCGAATCAACGTGCGAATATCCGTGATAATAAGGCTTATCATGTAAATTGATATTAAAGCTGGCCAACGCACTAGTGCACGTGATATCGAACTGTTTTTGTTCTATACCAATACTGTTTGGTCTCAATAAATGACGCTCGGATATGTGTGTATGCTTGGGTCATTGTGCGAGATACAAAATAAATGACGTCAATAGTCCTGGTCAATTAAGCTGATAAAGAATGCCCTAGCTGTTTAAAGTATGATTAATCTAATAGAACCAGAACTGAAACCAAAATAATATTGGGTAAATATTTTAATACGAAGATGATTCGATCATGTACCGTCATTGTTCAAATAAATACTTGAACCTATATTATTGTACTGTAGATTGCATTGAAGGGCTTCACTCCTTGTAACTATGATTTTGCGTTATTATTTGTGTTTATTCGGCGTTACGAACACGGATGAAAACCTAGAAATATTTATAATCCAGTAGCCCCCCTTAAATAATGACATTTCTTAAATCGATGTCCACACAACATAACATGTTGTTCATTTGTCCATTATGTTATGGTATTAAACAGTTGGACTAGGTTGACTTTTGAATGTTGCATGATACACGTATAATAATTGTATTCAATATAATTAAGATATAATCTCTCTTAAAAGCTGCGAATTTTTTTTTACCGAATTCTGAAATTACACGTATTCTTGTTTTTCTTATAACTAACTAATGAACAAAATCACCATTTTTGTTATAGACTGATAGCTTGGCATTTTCTTGCAATGAGGTGGATGTCCCTACGAAGCACCATATGTTTGTTTTTAAGTTGCAACTTAAGTGGAAGCACGACCTTGTTGGAACAGAATGTTGGTTTCCGATTGCTAATTAATACTTAAAGCCAATCCTTGAACGACAACATGCACCTTCCGGTTGCTTTGGATATCAAAGCAGAACAATACTGGTCAATGGCACTGTTTAAAACTATAACAAAATGGTTTCTGATAAATATTTTACATATTTATAACTGATTACTTCAAGTTAAAAAAAAAACATCAAACGTACAAAAAGTACATATAGATTCGAACTTTTTTGTTGGTTTTCTTTGTAGAGTTTATATTTAAAATTATATAAAAATAAATTCTTTTTCGTCACCGTCAAACGTTCTAAAATATAATTTTACGCTAGCGACAATTGTTTTAATGGGAGCATAGAAAATCCAATTTAACATTTCTAAGTAATATCTGGACTGGTACAGTTAACCAAATTCATTTTACAGTCATCTGTAAAGCACACCAGTAATCAAAGCACGATTTCCTGATTGTTTTCATGAGTTAGGATTTAACACATGACGTCCTGCTGTGAGGTTATCTGGGTCTACATATATGTGCGGATTGTCAAATTACTGAAAATTTAATTAAAGATAGGCAACTGAAGATGAGCATTAATTTATACAAAAGAATAATAATGAACATTGTATTATTATGCTATGATTATGTCAGGTAGGTAATTGGATCTTGAAATAAAGGAAATTGTCTCCCTTTTGCTATGGTATGTGATCAGAACCACATGTGTAGTCAAAACTGTATACCTATACCTATTCATCAAATCCTCGGTAGCGAAAATGACATGCAATTTTATGACAATGTTATTCTTTTCTTTTTCCGCTGTTGGCTTGACTTGGCAATACAATAAACTAGTGCAGGCTATCTAAACCTTCGATGTTTTTTTAAACACATGTGTTTTTAATTCTTTCTAAATAACTTTCTTCTTCCTAATGTCTCCCTTGACAATGCCTCACTTTTGGCCATTTGTTATGCGTTCGCCCCTGTAAGGAAGGCTTTGGGTTCTGTCCCCTGGCCGAGACATACCAAAGTCTTTAAAAATTGTAGTTTCTACTCCTGCTTAACGCTCAGCAAATTAGGAGTGGGACGACTGGTTTGCCCGTTGTCAGTATAATGTGACCGGGTGGGGCGTCCTGCTGGGTGTCTTCGGCAGTATGTTTCAGTGAGGTAGCACTATAAAGTCGGCATCAGTTCCGCGCTATCACAAGGAGACAAACACGAACATATCGCAGCNTAGGGAACATTGAAGAAATCAAGGCAAAACCACGTGATTCGTAAAAGGCGACTAATGTGTCCCTGCAGATTCGGGGGTTTTCTTCCATGTTTTCTCCGAAGAGGAAATTGCAGTGATCTGCTGCCCTAATTGCATCACTTGTGATCTTTTTTTCGTTTCTCATCTTTCCTGTCTTTTTTATTCATACGCTGTTTCAGGCGGTTTCTACCTAGGCACCCGTACCCATAGTACCCTGGCTGTTGCCAAGACGTTTAACCACAAACAAACAAAGCAAAATGACTGAACTTTGCTATCAAAAGTAATGCCTTTAACTCGGACGCGCAACAGTTGTTTCCCCAACACAAATATGAGGGGTTACTGCTGTGACGTTGGCCCTTAGTGAGCAGTGATATGCCCTTTGTCAGATGACACCGCTGTCGAATGTTATTTACCATATGTGTTTAATAAATCGGACCTTTTCTTTTACAGAACTCACTGGACGTCGCATTTGACGCAGGAGGTAAGGTCAACATCGGTTTGACGTCAACAACCATTGTCTCCCAGTGGACTTGGGCGGCCACACTGTTGCAATCATCTACGGTCGCCAGTAAGGTACGTGTACATATATAGCTGTGTCTCTTTTGTCTATTTCTGTGTACAATACAAATATTCACTAACGCATGCTTGCGTCGTCATACGGTTCTGTTCATGTCTATCTGTTTGTCTTTCGGAAACATTAATTGGCGTCCACAAACATAATGTATGTGTATTGTGTCTTAAGTTTTTTATCTATTATCCTCAGATATCACAGCATCCTTCCAAAACATATCCAGGTTAAATAACCGAGATATAGGAAAACTGTCTACAGGGATAGAAATGATGAAAACGTGCAGATTGTTGTGAAATAAAGACATATATATCTATAGCATGAAGTGACAAATGTGAGCGTGCGTAAAAGAACATCCTAATTGATAGAATTTGATTATCTAGGTATTTTGCGACACTGTGGTAGAAACAAACTAAATTAAACCAGGAATGCTTTATATAATCAACTTATCTCTGTATATAACGGTGGAAACTATAACTTTAGATTCGAAAATGTTGAAAAATAATCAACACAGCCGAAAGGCGGCCTTAATTTGACCCCGACAATTTCTCTACATTTGATATATATAATACCATAGTACACGCACATACGTTGAGGATATGACAAAACTATATTTGAAAAGAATCTCCGTACTATCCTTTCATTCGCTACATCTGTCAATACAAAATAAAATTTAAAACAAAAAACTTTTTATATCATACCGCACGACACATCATTACTTTCTCAGCTGTTTCTTAACTATTGTCACCTCAATTTGACCCCAACTTTGACCTGAGATGTTGGTTAGTATGTAGCATCGTCTGATTTGTCCCTACAGAGGCATTTCGCATCCGCCTTGACATGCAAATACATCTGTTATGATAGTTATAAAGACGAAAAGATTAGAAAGCCAAGCTTTGGTTACATACCAATTAAACTGGCAAAACCAAAACCAATCAATAGACGAACTCGTTAAAAAATGCGAACACATAAAGACGGTTATTTTGGACTATGATAATTTATAACTATGACTGAAAATGTGATGTATCCAAGTCTAATTGGCGTTGCAGTAGGCAGCGACATCGTTTATTTCCCCGTGATTACTTATTATTGGATTAAGAATACTGACATTTGCTAAAGTTACATATTTATGGCAAAAGTTGCCTGTAATTTCCAAAGCTCATCGCTTTTCCGACAGAGTATGCTTCCACCAAACCATTAATTTGCCATGTGTTTTTGTATGACACTGATAATTGACGGAGTTCAAAGGGTGAAATATTTGGAGGAGAAGGAACGGTCAAATCTTAATTTCAGCACAGGCATTTTTGCGACAGTGAAAACTTGTTTGTGTTTCCATAATGATGGATAAATTAAGCTATTATACAAGTTATGAAATTCATTTCTGTGTTCCCATATTTACAGATAAATTAAGCTATTATTTAAGCTGTAAAATTCATGTTTGTGTTCCCATATTTACAGCTATTCAGCTATTTTATAAGTTATGAAATTCATTTCTGTGTTCCCATATTTACAGATAAATTAAGCTATTATTTAAGCTGTAAAATTCATGTTTGTGTTCCCATATTTACAGATATTCAGCTATTTTATAAGTAATGAAATTCATTTCTGTGTTCCCATATTTACAGATACATTAAGCTATTATTTAAGCTGTAAAAATCGTTCGTGTGAGAAGCTTCTTGTGTATCGACTGATAAGAAAGAATAAGAGAAAAGAAAAGAGCGAGGTGCAAAGTAAGGGAATGCATGCAGCATTTTGGTTCTTCTGCGTCCTTTTATATTGGAGACAAGAAGGCACATTCACAGTTAGGCAACGAATCCCACAATAGTCGACTTGTATAAGCATGCAACGGGATACAGATGACTATTCCTTCCCCTGTTATGTATATACATGTATCAGGGTTTTAAATAAATCAGAATACTGCTTCAAATACCCCAATTTTCGATTACAGGATCCCTATCAGCTGAACACATGTGTTCCCATGACTCTGAAATGACTACTTTAAACATTCCAGTCTTCAAATTTTAACTATGAATATAACTTAAAGCATAGAATACTGAAAATTATCATTTATGAGGACCCGAAATATTTATCTAGAACCCCCAATTTATTTTCAATCAAGGGGACCCAAGGACAAAGTCAAAATTGGATGTAAAACCCTGTATAGATAATCACAGTATTGAAATGTCAGTAGGCTACGTCAGCTTAGTCAGATCTGTCTTTCGATTATTATAAATGCAATTTTGTTTTATGTTCATAGACTGTTTACTATTTAAACTTCCTCAAAATATCATGTTTAATTTTTGGCATTGCAAACAAAATAAAAATTAAACCAGTAAGCGTACATTGAACATCTTGCGATATGTTTTATAGACAGTCTTTCCTTTCTTCTTCCTTATTTATCTAGGCACCGTCCGCACATGACACTGGTTATTGCGAAGACGTCCAACCACAAACAATCATTTCATATAGGTATTTTCTAAAATACGGTTAGTTCGTGAAAATATAAATATAAAAAGGACGTTCACCCCAGTAGGGTAGTTAATGTGTTCTGTCCCCAGGCCAGGAACATACCAACGTCCTTAAAAGTGGTAGGTGTTATTCCCCACTTAAAGTTAAGCATTTATGGTAGGTCAACAAAGGGTTTTCCCATTGTCAGTTTATTTGACCGAGTGGAATATTGTGCTGGTTTCTTTCGGCATGGTATGTATCTGAGGTAGCACTATAACGTTTGCATCGGCTACCCACTATCGCAACGAGAGAACTCGCCAACATGACCTGCCTCCAGCACGTTTACACATTCATGCATCCATTACACAAATAAGATGTCCTCAGCTATAAATAGGGCGTTAAATCTTATAAAGCTGATCTTTTATAGTATCAACCGTTCCCCATCCCTATTTTAACTGTTTCATAAAACCACATCATTTAGGTAATGTTTAGCAGCTGATTATCAGGTGAGTTTCCAGTGATAAGCATGAGGATAGAATTTTTCTCGGTTATTTGAAGACAAATCCTAGCCTTGCCCTATCGATAACAGAATTCAGGAAAACTGATCAATAGGTATTAATTCAGAACTGATGCTCTTTATTGAAAACATGAGTAATATAATATCCTACGTCCATTTAGCGTATAGTCAGAGGCAGATAAAGGTCATTAACAAATCTCGTAAAGAGTTAAATGATAGGGCTGACGCTTTAACGCTCTCCAGAGAAGATGCTTAAGTACGGAAACAGGACCATCAGCTTCCGTGCAACGAAGTCGGTAATTATATAAAAAAAAAATACATTTCCTGTCTTTGAAGTTGTATTATTTAACACTAGTAGCGTAACAAAGATCAATTGTTATTGCATCGGATTTTCCAGTTCGTTTTAATAACACCGATAAATCAAGCTTAATTAGCATAAACAGAGAGTCTAAGATAGTTCTTTTCCAGAAAGACTTTGCAATTAGGGAGAAAATGGTGTTTAATTTCATTGATGATACATAGTTAAACCTGATTAATCAATCAAATATAACTCATTTGAAAGGTATACATTTTTTTTCAATTGATGTTAGGTCAAGGGGGATAACTCCAAAAAAGCACTGAAATTCCGACCAGCAATACTAAGGCATTATGTAATATTCACGTTCAATGAAAAGGTTTCTACACAACGAAAATGTTAACGGATAACTGTCCATCTCCAGCCGTTCTAAAAATATAATAAATGGAACATTCGATCGTTCCCTTTGAACACAATGTTTATTTAAGGAATATGACATAATGATTACTTATTATGTTTTCACGGTCCGAAAATTAATCGTTGCACTCGTGAAATATTCTTCTTCACTAAGAAGCTATTAATATAATTATAATGACTTTTAACTGTTCCCAACTTATTTTTTCCCGAATAAATTTCCACATAGGCTCTAAATGAGGGAGGAAGAGGGATCCAACATGGTCGGGCAGGTGACCAAAATATTTTTTCATGTTCGATCTCGGAATCGAACCATGGCCATCATAGTGAAAAGCCACTGCGGCCGACCAGCCCAAATGAGAAACCATTAAATATTTTGTTTATGTTTACGAACCAAGTCACCAATATATATACAATTCGTGTCCCCTGTATGTCTCTAATACAATAATTTTGACGTAATATGTATTAACATTAACACAAATAAGTGTCCTACATGTATATATACATATTTAAGTGTGCTTCTTTGCCTTCCAATTTTTAAAATATCGATAATGTTGCTAGGATGTCATATTGTCCTGCTGGGATAAATTCTGCTTTCTGTGTTCCTCTCTGCCACAATATAAAAGCACTCGGCGGAAGAATATTGGTAAACACGAAGAGCCACTCCAGAAAACATGTCCTGCGTAATTGTCTATAGATATTGATTACAAGGAAATCGCGTGACCCTTGTGGATTGAGAATTGTTTTTCGTAGCGGTAATACAAACAGATTAATCAATAGAAGCTTAAATATACATTCATTTGAAACTTCAAAAAGAAATTTCTGATTTGTATGCAGAAATATGGATAATTGAGAGAGGTGATGAAGAGAGACAGCGAGAGGGGAGACAGAGGTGATGAAGAGAGACGGAGAGACAGAGAGTTGATGAAGAGAGACACAGAGAGAGAGAGCTAGATTCGGATTAGTTGGTAAACATGAAGGAATGCAAGAAAATATACTCAAAATCTGTTAGTATCTAGAATAAATTGATGCGCCTGTTTGGCTATTAGGATGTTTTCTTAATATGACAATTCACTATTACCGTATGGTAGTAGCTGCAAGTTAAGTGGAATGAAATCATTTAATTCGCGGTAGTGTTTTATTATCTGATCCGCATAATTATTACTAGTAAAAAGGAAGTGATATATATCTTCGGTACGATGTCCTCATTGACAGTCCTGAAAATCTATTAAATTAGCACGAAATAAGTGATTGTTTAAGGTACTCGAGTTATTTCTCAATCTGGTGTGTAAAATATTACTCTTAAGATCACCAAGGAGATAATATAACGG